CCGAATTTATTTTTTAAGTAACTATTTTAAGTAAATTTAAGATTAAAAATTACATACTCATTAGATATATTTATGTAATATGTATTTATGTAAAAATAGTAATAATTAGGTATCTTATATAACCGTAAATAAAAAATTAATATTTTCATAATAGAAGTAATCATAAAATAATAATAAAAAAAAAGTTTTGTTAAACTAGTCATAATAATATAGTTAAATTATTCGTTATGTTTAATTAAATGCCTAATATTGTCCAAATAGTCAATTCAATTCATCTGCGGAGGATCGCTTGTCACTCTTTCCTTAAGACTACAAATTCTTTGTTCCAGCTTAACATAWTTGTTGTAAATTCTTTTTACTTGTTTCTCTGTGTCTATTTATCACTTTTCAAATCACAAATTCATAACCCTGTTTTAAGACAAAAATAATTTCATGCGGAGAAATGGGTSGGCGGTAAAATGGGATTAATTTGGCGGCGAAATGGGATAAGACCGTGAGTTACAATCTGGGGAAGTAAAACTTCTTTCATAAGTATTGGGTCCGTTAAATCCGACCGGAGCCGGCAGGCGAAGGGAGTCACTAATATACTTATGTTACTTTAACTGGCAAGGTTACAACTTACAGTACTTACTATAAGTTCAAACAGTTCCTAAATCAGTATTAAAAACACATATTTAAAAAAACAATTTGTTCTATAAAATTATAAATAAAATTGTAACTATACCTGTTTACTTGTATTACATTTTTTCATAAATTAGGAAACTTTTAATACTTGTAACTCTAAAACTAAGCTAGATAGCACAATTCTGACTTCACTAAAAACTGTACGTAGTAAAAAATAAAAATATAAAAAACAAACCGATTTTCAGCTAATATTAGAAAGGATTTATAATGAATCTTGAAAATGGTATTTTCCAATTTTTACGTGCAAATACTTCAAAAGTAGGTATTTTAATTAAGTTTTGATTTTACCAATTTATTAAACGCTAAAAACTACACATTAAAAAAAAATAATTAAAAATATTCAATTGTAAGTATTTTTTTTTTTAATGCAAGTGACGAAAAAATTAAGTTTTCGAAGTTTTTTGTCAATAACTTCAAAACGAAGTTTGAGCGGGTTTTTTTTTTACATTCTTATAAAGCACCGTAAAACACACATTTTGGAAAAAAAAAATTTTAAAATCGATAGGTTGCTAAACTAGAATCGTTCCCAAACATTTATCAGTATAATTACTTTAAAATGTATTATTTACCTTCTTACTGAAAAAACATCTCAAAGTGGTTCGACTCGATACTGKTTGTCCATCTTACACAATTGTCAATTGACTAAGTATTGACACAACCACACAACTTAAATCAACTTAATTATTTAGATAGATAAGTACACAGATTGACTAAATACAAAATTACAAGTATTATACAATTATTAATACATAATATTCATKGGCAACGATTTTGTTACGTAACAATCAAAACAACCGTTGCGGCATTTCGTACCGTTGCGCATCATATAATGAATAATGATATAAATAATGTAAAATGCACACAGTATATTATATGCGTGCGTTGGTAGCCGTGACTTGTGTGGAGCGGTAAGGTTGATAAGAATATGTAGCGGAATCAGCGGATACTGWTAACAATTTTGATTTTTTACAGTACCTATTTAATATTTTATAAAATTGAACAAATACAAAATAAAAATATTCATTGGCATATAATACCACGTACATCGTACGTACCAGCGTATATACCCGTGTGTTCTTTTAGGAAAATGTAGTATGGGAACGCTATTTAAAATCAAAATGAAGTATAAGAGCCGAGTTCCCATGCGTCCCCCCCCCAATTCGAGCACTGTCTATAAAATATAAATATAAGTGAATTAGTAAATACAATAGGTACGTAAACTATTGTAAGAACCTTATTATGTATAAGCTATAAGCACTAACAAAAATATGATATTAAACRTATTAATATAAATCACCTACATTCCGTAAAACATTTATTTCTGTATAAAACTTAAACAATATAGCTAGTACTCACTGGAAACATGTATCCTTTTTTTTGATCTATTAAAATGGACCATTTAAATCCTATGCCACTTCTCTTATCCTTCTCCATTGTTGTCTYTGTCTGATACCACACTGATGTTAAATGTGAAATTTATTTTTCTCAGATCTCTCTTGGCATATCACTGTGTTTGGCGCGATCTCTCCAAACATACTTATCCGTTTGTATTTTCTATTGTTACTGTTTTAATGAAGTATATTTTTACAAACCACACATAGCTGCCTACCTATTCAATGTTTTATTACTAAGAAATGTATGGATATTTAGCTTGCTAATAAAAATTTTTGAATAGGTATCATCATTTTTTCTGCTTTGAAAAACTCCTGAGCAATTATCGTACACTTTGCCTTTCAAAAACTAGAGCCTTTATTTATGTTTATCTRTGTTCATACGCTTGTGCTACTACTACTATTTATTAGCCTCCACGGGAAACCGTTACCATAAATAGTTATACCTAACCTAACCTACCGGCCTACCCACAATATTCACAAATTACCTATATAATGTTATATATAATTAATTTTAGTTCTTCTTGATAGTAGTTTTAATATTTATATACTGTAATTTTATTACTAATGTCAGATTGCATAATAAATAATAATGATGTTTTTTTTGATTAGGCGTTCAGTGMTATTCAGATAGGTCCAAAAGAAGAAGAACTACAAACTCTGTGGCAAAAATATGTAAACAAGGTCATCTGGGCGATCGGTGCATTTAGAAATTCAATTGTAGTGATCGTATGTAGTATTATCTGTTATTGGTGCGTACATACAACAAATCACGATATTACGTCCAATCAGTCACCACCAATCCCGTTCAATGTTATAGGTATGTAAAATACCATCTGTGCTTTATATACATTATAATATAATAAATAAAACTAAATKTGGTTGTACGTATAGTGTTAAATGTRGTAAAAATACTTAAAATAATAAAATATTATAAYAATAAACTAATTTATGGTAGGATAAATTTCATGATAATACGTATGAATACCAAATAAATAAATAAAAAACTTTTTGAAACATAATTTTTAATTTAAGAACAAATTATTTTTTTATTTTTATTTTTTTTTAGGGAAAACCCGCTGCAACATAGTCCAGTGGGCTGGTACGGTAGGGGTTATTTTGTACAGTTTTTTTGTAGGTTTTTAATTTGGTAGGGGTGTAACACGTCTTGTGGCAAGGATATGTTGCAAAAAATCCCGGGTGGTTACTTAACTAAARATGACCTTTCAATAGATACTTTTTATTATAGACTAATTAATAGTTACCTGTATTGATAAATATAATTATGACTTATAAGGTTTTAAATTGTAATGATTTACACCAGATGCTATCAGCCATCAATTGTTGTAAATTATAAATAAATAGTATTGAAATACTTGGTCAAATTATTGCTTTATCGATTAACTTAGTCGATTCGTCTTAGATACAATTATATGAAGTATCCAGTATCTTGTATCGCGATACA